TTGAAACGACATAGAGGGACCTAGAAAGCATTATCCTAAGCAAAACAATCCAAGCAGAAACAGACTAATACCACATGATCTCACTTATTTGTGTAATATAATGAACATAACAGTCTTAGGAATAGGGTAAACCCAGAGACGTGGAAGTAGGGTACAGTCTGACAACCCTCAGAAGTGGGGGTGGTGGGGGGAGGGAAGAGATAAACCACAGAACTTATATGTATGTATGCATAACCAATGGACATGGACAACAAAGCTGGGGACTGGGTGGGGGGGGCGTGGGGAGGAGGGTGTCAATGGGGTAAAAAAGGAGAAATATCTGTCACAACAACAACAAAAAGCTGAGAACGAAGATGAAGCCTTGAAGAAAGCTGAATTGCCCCCAAAGAGCCCTTCAAAGGCTCAGAAAGTTGCTTACCAGGTGCCTCATAGAATAGAAGATAATTATGGAACTACAAACCGGGAGCTTTATAGAAGTTCTGTTTATGATGAAATTTACATTGACATAGAGAAGGTAATCTATATAACTCTCACTCCTCGATCATTAAGACATCACACAATCTTGTAGGTCAAACAGACATAAATATATGAAAACTGACCTCAATTCCTTTCTTATTCAGAGACACTCTGAATTTTTTCCTGGGTCCCAGAATATAATATTTTTGAGACCTTGGGCAAACAGAACTTGGCAGTAGTAAGGGTGGCTAGAAAATATTCAATATCATCCAAAGGGCTCCCTTATAACCTGCCGAAAGGGCCTATGAGCAGGTTCTACTCCCATCATGAAACTTTTCAAAGTTTCACTTCACTGTATCACTTCCTAACTTGCACTAACACCTTCTTCATTATCAATGTTATAAAAAAAATTTTGCTTACAAAAATCAAGTGATTATTACTATATTAAATAGCACACTAATATAAATTTTATTGCCATTACAATTACTTAATTCAGCTCTGGGTTTTGAGTTGCAAATATCAGTTTATATTAGAGAGAGAGAAAGAGAAAAATGCTTTTTATAAAAATTGTTAATTGAATCCTTACTGAGGCTCAACGGGATTTTATTACACTCGTTGACAGCTTTGTATCCATAAAGCATGGCACTGTCTGCATGCCTAATTCTGTATGTTGCTCTTTTCTGCTCTCAACAAGACCTCCTGGGGCTCAGGACTTTAAACTAAAAGAAGATATTTGTATAACTTTCTCTGTATAATAAGATCATTCACAAACTAATTCTGCAAATATGTCAATACATGCTTTTGATACTTGTTTTAAAATGCAAAAAATATAAAACAAAACTACAGCTCCAGATTGCTTCTTCTACACTGGTAGATCTGAAATTTATTCCTGGAAAAGATGACTCTGGATACAGCAGGAGGAAGAGAGCTGGACAGACAGGGGGACCAGGGAAAGTCTGCACACTCCTCCAGCTCCCTTTGAACACTTGACTAGCTTTACCCTTCCAGACCCTCGTCTGCAGAATCTGAATAACTCACAAGTAAAAACTGAAAGACACTGACAGTCATGAATCCCCCGACAAAGTGTCCTGGACAATGAGACCAACCAGTCCACAAGTCTCACTCAGGCACACACAGCTCATCCAGTCAGGATGTGCTGTGTTTGTGTGTGTGTGCGTAGGTTTTGGTACTGTATTTAAATATTAACTGTCAGCCAAAAGTCATCAGATATTTGAGGAAATCCTCTAAGGTGAAGGTTAGAGATCAAAACAAACCAAAAACAAAAGGATGCTGAAAAAATAAAGACAAAGTAGAAAGGAGAAATCTTCAAAAAATTATTATAGTTAATATTCCGAGTGATATGAGACTATAAAATATCAATAATACAAATATAACAAATAGAGGAATATTCAGAGAGCAAAAGGGTTGGAAGATAAATCTCTGAAAAAGTAAATCAAAAGATAAGAGAAGGAAAATGGGACAGAAAAAAATAGAAAATAACTCAGTCCAGGAAGGCCAATCTTCAAAAAATTAGAGTTCAAAGATAAAAGGATAAACAAACAAGAGAATGTAACAGAGAAAGGGAATGAGGAGACATAAAAAAAGAAAGGGAAAGGAATATAGAATAAAAAAATTTTTTTTTTAAGTAACTAGCATTGCAAGACATGAGTTTCGACTAAGAAGGCCTTCAGGAAAAATGAGGAACATCTGTAATACATTCAACAATAAAGATAAATTTAAAAAAAAAGGAAGGCCTACACATTTCCCAGCACAATGGATGAATAACACCAGTCCCAGTATAAGTCATCATGATGTTACAGACTAATGAAAACTCATAAAAGATTCTAACAATCCTCCAAAAGAAAGATAAAGAATACTAGTTTGGCCCTGGCTGGTTTGGCTCAGCGGTTAGAGTGTCGGCCTGTGGACCGGAGGGTCCTGGGTTCGGTTCCTGCTAAGGGCATGTACCTTGGTTACGGTTTGTCCCCGGCCCTGTTGGGTTTGTGTGGGTGGCAACCAATCGATGTGTCTCTCTCACATCGATGTTTCTCTCTCTCTCTTCCCCCACCCCCCATCTCTCCCTCCCACTCCTTCTGAAGATAAATGCAAAAAATGTCCTCAGGTGAGGATTAAAAAAAAAAAGATTACTAGTTTGCATATAAAGAATAAAGAACCAGAAAGGCTTCTCAATCTGTATACTGAAAGTCAGAAAATAATAGAGCACATCTTCAAACTCCTGCACAAAAATCATTTCTAACGTAAAATTCTAAGCAAATAAGTGTAAGGGTGGGGGAAAAAAAGACATCTTCAAACATGTGAGGACTTGAACTTACCTCCTAAATGCTCTTTATCAGACAGCTACTCAAAGCGGGGCAATGATAAAAGGAAAAGTAAACCAGAAAACAAACTTAGGATCTAGGAATAAGCACCAGAATCTAGGAAGTAGGGGATCAGAGAAAAGAAAAGAGTCTAAGGGAATTCCCAGGAAGATGGGGAAGAATGAACTCAGGACTATAAGAGAGTAACTGGTAAAGACTGAAATAGAGAGAAGGAGGCTCTGAGAAAGAGCCCAAACACATGGGCTTGAAAAAATATAGGCTAACTTTTCCATTGCAAGGATGAGTTACCTTTTTGACAAAGAGTTGAGTACTAACTAGTTAGAAGTGTAGGGGAAACTAAGCAAACAAAAACATTGATTAATTCCAGGTTGGAGGGAGTTTTATGTGAAAGAAAATAAATATACTTTTGTTACAATGTAGAGCTCAGCTAGAAATAGTATTTACTAAGTTATGATACTGATACCAATCAAGTCAACATTTACGACGAAACAATATTAGTGAGATGCTGGGGAGAGAAGGTGCCTACACAAGAAAGAAATGAGTGGAAGAACAGAGTGATGATAAAAGAAGACGAAATCCTCATCTTCCTATGTGGAAATCAGTAGATACTTTTTAGTATGTATCTGTTAGGTGTCTAGTAAGATACCGACTCTATTTAGACATGTGGAGGTGATCCCAAAGTACTAAATGTAGTTGGTTTGGGGAAGGAGACATAAGCAGGATGCTTTTCTTGAAAACTTCTAAAATGATTAGAGTTTTTCACCTCTGTGCGGTATAATTTCAATACAAATAAATATCAAATGAAAAAAATAGTAGTGCTTTTGCTTTCAGCCTGTTGTGCAAATGTATAAAACACCCTGGCTTTCATCTTAAAGAGCAAAAGCTGGCAGTCGTCTGCTCCAGCCTGTACTCTTCAGGCTGGGAGGAGGCTGTCAAGGAGGCGAGTGATGAAGATTGTGTTAAAGACCAGAGTCACTTTCTATTTTTCACAAGAGAAGAGTCATAAAGATAAACTGGTTAATTACCTTCTGCTGAAATGTTTCAAACTTTATCATTTCTAGAATTGATAAGCTGTTGTAAACATAGTAAACAATATAGTCTGCTCCCTAGTTTCAAAGAGATCATTGTTAGGCTCCAAATAAAAATATAGAAATAAAAAAGGAAAGGAAGAAAGGAAGGAAGAAGAGAAGGGAGGGAAAGAGAAAAGGAAAAAAAAAAGAAAAATGTAACAAATCTTTACTTATGCAACAGTAGCTTTGCTTACAATACTACCTGTGCACAAGAAATCAGTAACAGAGTATTTTTAATATCTCATTCGAACACTCATTCACCTTCAAACTAACTACAAAAGTCTCTTTGGCCTTCGAAATACCATTCCATTTTTCCTAAGAATCAATTAAATTTAACATTTCTTTTGAATTCTTAGGCAGTTTCATTATATTTTTGATGTGTGTATGTTGTTACTGTTTACCTAAAAATGGGAAAGTTTAGTTGCTTGATTCTATTTTATATTTTCTGCCAAACCTGCAATGACTTCAAGACTTCTTGTTTGTCACATGTTCCAATGACTGTAAGGAAAGTCAGAAGAACCAGCTACAGGAGCTTAAATTGCAGCTATAGCTGAATTGTGTTTAGGATTTAACTTTTTGCATAAAATATAAAAAACTGTTTTAAAATACACTAATGTTTTTTTTTGTCAATCCAGCAAGATAATTAGAAACTTTTTTTTTTTTTTATCCTCACCCGAGGATAATTTTCCATTTTTTGTACAGATAGAGTGGGAGGGAGAGAGAGAGAAACACCGACGTGAAGGGACACATCGAGTGGCTGCCACCCGCACGACCAACCAGGGCCGGGGACAAACTGCAACTGAGATACGTGCCCTTAGCGGGAACTGAACCCGGGTCTCTCCAGACCGCAGGCCGACGCTCTAACCGCTGAGCCAAACTGGCCAGGGAATAATTAGAAACTATTTAAACTAATCTCTTCATTTTATATATCAGGAATCTAAGGAACAGAGAAGCTAGCAAAGATCTTGCCAAAGAAGCTGGCCAAGTCTAGACTGTCCTTTGCTCTATTAAACTCGTAGACAGTTGGCTGAGTAAGTGAAAGCGGTGACTTCCCAAGTTAAAGTCAATGCCCTTGCTCATGGCAGAAATAGGCCCAACACTTGCTTTCTTTTTAGGTCTTAAAAATGAATCATACCTGTGGTTCCAGAGGTAAAGATATAAAGATAAGGAGACTTGAGGTTTGAGGCAACGTGGTGGCTGCTTGGCACCGGCTTGTCAGATGCTGTGCTCAGTTTTCCTTTGAGTGAAATGACACCTTGTGGAACTGAATCTTTTAACCCCCACACACTGATATCTTCTGGGAGGCCGGGAAGGATTTCTTCTATAGCTTCAAGCAAATCTAAAAACCAAAGGATTAGGAATAGGTAAACAAAACATAAACCTCGCCTGGCCCGTGTGGCTTAGTGGTTGAGCATCGACCTATGAACCAAGAGGTCGCCGGTTCGATTCCAGAACACATGCCCAGGTTGTGGGCCCGATCCCCAGTGGGGAGCATGCAGAGGCGGCCAATCGATGCTCTCTCCCATTGATGTTTCTATCTCTCTCTCCCTCTCCCTTCCTTTCTCTCTAAAATCAATAAAGGAAAAAAAGCCCTGGCTGGTTTGGCTCAGCGGTAGAGCATCAGCCTGTGGACCAATGCGTCCCGGGTTCGATTCTGGCCAAGGGCATGTGCCTAGGTTGTGGTTCATCCTCGGCCCTGGTCGGAGTCCTGCAGGAGGCAACCAGTTGATGTGTCCCTTTCAGGTCGATGTTTCTGTCTCTTTCCCTGTCTCTCTCTCTCTCTCTTTACCTGAAGATAAACAGAAAAATATCCTTGGGCGAGGATAAAATAAATAAACAAACAAACAAAAAAACATAAACCTTAAACCATTCACCTTGTGTTATCTTTGGTGAGTTGGAACAGAGATAAAATGTGAATACAATGCTGATTTCATTTTCCTGTTGGATAAATAATATCAGACATTTTATGACTCTGTTTCAAAAGGACCAACTGAAAGGGAAATCTAGTCATCACTTAATTTAATGAACACAAATAGTCAAATTCAAATTGAATTTTGGAGACACCATTATCCATACTATGTTTTTTTTTTTCCAATTTTTAAATAAAATTATTATTATTTAACATTTTTTTTCCTTTATTGATTTGAGAGAGAGAGGAAGGAAGGAGACATAGAAACATCGATGAAAGAGAACATTGGCCGCCTCCTGCATGCCCTCCACTGGGGATTTGGCCCACAACCTGGGCATGTGCCTTGACCGGGGATGGAACCAGCGACCTCTTGGTGCAGGGTCAACGCTCAACCACTGAGCCACACCGGCCAGACAATAATAAAATTATTTTTATACTTTGCTTTAAATCTAAATTCAGGACAATGCATTAAACAGTATCCTTGAAATACAACTCAGTAGCTCATTATTCCAAAAAGCCATCTGCCTATCACTGTTCAGTTTTACCATAATGCAATATGTTTGGAGAATCGCCTGCCCGCTCTGGTATCACGTGATCATTATGAGTTAGAGACCATTTCAGAGCCCAGAGGTAAGTGAGTTGATTTAGAGATGCCACTGGGCTTTGGAGTTACAGGAGAAATGCCAAAGAATACCAGCAAGCACCAGAAGAAGCTCGGAAGGGGCAAGCGAAGATTCCTTCTTAGGTCCTTGTGAGGAGCATAGCCCTGCAGACACTTTCAGCCTGAACTCCTAACCCCCAGAACTGTTGATTTAAGCCAACTAGTTGTGGTACTTTGTTACAGCAGCCCTAGGAAACCAATACAACAAGGTCACAATTCAACTAATCAGTATATAATAATATATTTTTAAAAAGGCAAGTCCAAGGTGAGATTTTTGTAAGACTCAGACCCCAACAGGGCTATTTGCCACATGCTTTTTGGTTATGAATGGGAGAATCCTCCTCTTCTTGGCCAGAGAAGAGGTGACCATCTAGCTCCTCACCTGTGTCTGACAGCCCCGGGTGACTCCGTAATAATAACAGCAATTATTTCAATTCACCAAGGATCTAGTTAGTACATACCAGGTACCCAGCTAGCCACTTTACAAAAACTATGTCATTTAATTTTCAGAATTACACTGTGAAGTAGATGGCATTATCATCATCTTACAACTTAGCCAAGGAGGCCAGGGCCGCTGATTTTATGTTCGCTCACACAGCTAAGAAGTGGCAGGCCATTAATGAAATCCAAGTTTGTCTGGCTTATCTCTGTCTAAACCACTTGCTTGGTTTTTCCACCTCCATATAGTTACTCTCCCTGGGGATATAATGATTTAACTGTACATCTCCATCAGAAATATCCATTGAGAATCTAAGACCTTTGATACATATTCTAAAAACTATATGTATATATTGTTCACTGATTAGACTCAAGATGCCAAGATTACAGTACTTCAGAGCAAAGAGCTTCAAACACAGAAAGGTGACTATAATCTAAGCTATGTCTTACAAAAAATATCAAGTAATTAATCAAAATAGAATTGTCCCATCTTTGAAAAACATATGTAGTTTATATATTTTGGAAGTATGCTAAAAAGGACCATTAGTTAGATTTAAGGTTGATTTCTCCAGCTACCCACTTACTGAACAAATTGACTAAATGGTTCTGGCTTAAAACTCCAACATCCCAAAGAGGCTTTTATGTATGTGTATGTGTATGTGTATGTGTATGTGTATGTGTATGTGTATGTGTATGTGTATGTGTATGTGTGTGTGTGTGTGTGTGTGTGTGTATAGTGACTGTTAGTGTTCAAAACAAAAACAAGGAAACAATGAAATTAGTTACTAACAAAGGAAAAGCAGGCACAAGTCAAACAGCAAAATTAATTGGTCTTAATTAAGCAACAACTCAGTCAACAGCAGAGTTTGAATACTCTGTTTTGAGAGGTAACCAGGCATGTTAAGAGGCCCTCAGAAGACTGTCTATAGGATGTTTCTCAGGTTGGCCTTGACATCATGGCTTCAAATCTTTTCAGGGATACTGTGGCCCTCTTAGTTTGCTTTTCTAAAGGGAATTTATGGCTTTATCAACTTTTAGCTCAATTTGAGGTTTGGATTTGCTCCAGAAACTGCAATCTAGATTAGAATGATCAGTAATATGGGAAATGGACTACATCAGAGTATATCCAGAGATGACCTGTGATTTTTTTTTTCCTGCTTCATTCCCATTATCACTTGCCCCTGCACAAGTGGTAAATGTTGTTTCACTATGTTATCAAAATTGTGTGACTCATTTATCCTACTTATTGCTACAGTTCAGAAAATAAGTATCATTTTTTCATGGGCTCCAATTTTACTTTGTAATGCAATCCATCTTCCTAGGTTCTTTGGTGATGAGGCACTCAACCAAAGGCTTTTCTTCTTAGTTCAGTGTCAACATGCATATCCAAAGCCCGAATCCAAGGAGAGAAGAAAGAAGGTTAGAACTTACTGAAAGAAAGAAAGCTGTGGTACATTTACACAATGAAATACTATTTAGTTGTAAGAAATTAGGAAATCTTACTCTTTGAGACTACATGGATGGACCTGGTGATTAATATGCTGAGGGAAATAAACCAGTCAGAGAACGACAGGTATCATATGATTTCATGCATATGTGGAATCTAATAAACAAAATAAAGGAACAAACAAAATAGAAACAGACTTGTAGATAGAGAACAGACTGACAGCTGTCAGAGGGGAGGGGAGTTGTGGGGCTGGGTGAAAAAGGTTAAGGGATTAAGCAAAAACAAACAGACAAACAAAAACCCCAAAACTCATGGACACAGACAACAGTAGGGTGGGTGATTACCAGAGGGAAAGGGGGGTGGGGGAGGTAGAAAAGGGCAAAGGGAGGATAAATGGTGATGGAAGGAGACTTGACTTGGGGGGGTGAACACACAATACAATATACAGATGATGTATTATAGAATTGTACACCCGAAACTTATATACTTTTGTTAACCAATGTCACCCCAATAAATTCAATAAAAAAGAAAAAGTTAAAAATAAACTGTGCTTGCCATTTTTCTAAAAAAAAAAAAGAAAAAAAGAAATGATGTGCAGATGGGGGCAGGGGAAGAGAAAGAAAGACGCCTAGAGACTGCCAAGAACCACCCACTGTGTGGGGGGTGGTGTCCAACCTCCCAGGCAAATCCTAGCTTGCAGGCAGGGCAAAATAGGAGTAGACTTGAAGATAGGAATTCATGCACTTAAGATGAAAAATATTTGTCTTGTGAATGTAGTCTACCTTGATAGTGTTACTATTCAAGGCAGGTAGGTATTCCACAATGAAATCAAGACAACTTTCCTTCTCATCAAATACTTTTGTCAGATATGACAAAATCTAGAACTGAGCGAGTTCTAAGTCTCTGTGTTCTTGCACTCAATGAAGCTATAATAGACAGCAGTAAAATTGTCCTCTTCCCAAAATAGTTAGAAGCAGAGATTTCTAAGTTTTCCTAAATGGTCTTGATATTTACTAATCTACAACAGAGTAAGTGATCCGAGTGAGAGAGGGAATATTAAACCACCAGTGGTGGGATTGTAAATCATTTTGTAACATGCACACTTCATCACACACCCAACATATTACTTGTGCACTGTTCTAACAAAAAGAGGGTGGTGTGTGGAGAACAGGCAGGGCTGACATTCTGTGGCAGAGAACCCCCATACTCTACCTGCGCCCACCACGAGGGCCCTAGGCTCACAGCTGCGGATGCAGTGCAGGAGCGAGTTGGAGCGAATGTTGGAGTTGAGGAAGGCCACCACGCAGCCCAGCTTCGCCAGGCCAAACCACACGTGAACAAAGTCCGGCTCATTGCTCATGAGCAAAGCCACAGTGTCCCCCGTTTTCAGTGTGGAATGGTTCAGGAAGACATGGGCCACTCTGCTGCTCCTTTTGTCCACATCCTCATAGGTGTAGATGTCTCCCTCATAGATGATGAACGGTTTCTGGGGCTGCTTCTTGGCATGTACCAGAAATTTATCCAGGACAGTGACCAGCTTCCCTTTCCGACTGTACAGCTCCATCTGAACCCCACAGCATACCACCTTCAGCAGGAACCAGAAGTCGGCCCAGAAGTACGGGAACAGGAGTCTCTGCACAAAGTGCAGTAGGACTATTCCAGCCCCTAGTCCTGATATCCACGACAGGAGCTTGGGGGCCACAGGTCCCGAAGGCCACGCTGATCCCAGCCCTGCCAGTGTCATTCTCTTCCAGGCTGGTCCTCAGCGCTCTGGAGTATTAGCGGCACCTGCGGTTCTTGCCGGCCTTCGGGGCAGGCGAAGGTGCGGTGGCTTGCTAAACAAAATCCGAAGTTTGCAAAGAGAGGCTTGTCCAGAGGAGGGGATGCCTGGAAAAAGTCTTGAGACACCTAGTGGCTGCGTAGAGAGCAGGGAATTCGGGCGAAATCAACGCTGGAGCCGCAGGGGCGTGGGAGTCCGGGAGCCCCGCGCCACGCCCTCGCCGCGGCAGCCCCGACGGCGGGCTCTCCGCACTGTCCCGCCCTCTCCTCGGGCGGGCTGCGCCCGTCCCCGGCGCCCCTGGGCCCTAAGCAAGCCCACCACCTCAGAAGCAAGTCCGGGCAGCTGCTCTCCTCGGAGTAGTTTGTCCAGGGACTGCGACTTGGAGGCTGAATTGGAACCTGGAGAAACTAGTGGCGACCGCTGAGAAATCGCAGACTTCGGTCTTGACACGCCAGAATCCGCTGAGGGTTTCGGGGCCACTCCACCGTCGGATGTGTGTCCCCAAGGCGTGTTGTATCCCGGCTCTGGAGCGCCCCCCTCGCAGCGCTCCGAGCTCCCCTCGGGCACACCGGGTCTGGGTGACCGGCTGCCAGGTGAGCACCGCGCCCGCCGTAAGGCAGTGCCTCCTGTTCGGGTCGCGGCTCCCCTCCCAGTGCCTCGGGGGCTGGTTTATCGCCTTTCTGGCCTGCGGCGGGGGTGTCGTCCGCCTACCTCCCGCTTCCCGGCCAACCCAGCTCTGACTCCTCGGGGCTGGGAGCGCTCGGGTTCCCCCTCGTCAGCTCCTCCCTCTGCGCTCCTCCTGCCACCCGGCTGGCGGGAACCGGACAGTCCCGTGGAGGGGAAGCCAGAGGACATGGCAACGGGCGGAGAACCAGGCTGCTGGAATTGGGTCGGGGCTGTTCATTTAATTAAATCAATAAAGAATTAAGGGAAGTAAGCTAGAGGCTGGAGAGGAGAGGGGGACAATCACAGAAAACAAAACTGCAGAAAGAGAGGGAGAGGGAGGGAAGGAGGAGAGGGGGGGAGGGAGAGGGAGGGAGAGAGGAGAGAGGTATTGGACAGTCAAGGAATATTTGAATTCATAAAACACCACAAAATTGGTTTGTTCTACAAAAAGTATTCTTGAAAGATCATACTAATAGGTTGGTATTGACATCTATATTGAAATTCAGTGCTTAGAGTGTCTCCACAGTGCTTTTCACAAAATTTCCAAAAATATTGATTGATGCAGGAGCTTAAGTTCATATCTACATCCATATTTTTTTTAAAACGTATAAAATGCTAACTATTCTCAGTCCTTAAAAATTAGAAAACACTCTACAGTTAGATCATTTAAAAAGTTCTGACTCCAAACTAAGGGTTCTAAAGGAGGGAGAAGGAAGTGGAGAGGGAGCAGGGAATTAAACGAATAATAAAATTTTATGCACTGATCAAATGTTACTAAAGACAGAAACACTGAGGGGCATTTAATTACGTTTTTTTTCCCTTGCCGATACTAATCTCGGCTCTCTGTTTTGAAGAAGTGGATATAAACGCTTAATTGTGTGCGCTGACATGATTAAGCATTGCCTCACATTATCAGGCTTCTGTTTCTTCTGTCTTATGTTTTGCAACTGGGTTCTAGCTAACCTCAGATTTTTCTAATAAAGAAAAAAACTGAGAACTCCATGGACAGATGTCTGCAAATGATTACTTGTAGTCACAGTGAAGAACCCAGAAGACACACTCTTTAAATCCTCTTATGTAGATGAAGAAATACTTCCTAGATTTACTCAGAAGCGCTGGTCTTTTCAATTCAGAAACATATTTTATTAAAAGAAAAAGGATTAGTATCAAGTAGTTTAAAACTGGGGAAATCGATTTACAATTTCAAAAGCGTTTTTGAAATTCTCTCCTTTTCACTCTAGTCTTGGGGCAAGGACCACAGGCCAGGTGCAGAAGGTCACCAGGTGAACAGCCCCAGGAGCTTAGCCATGGGCAAAACGGAAAATAAGGAGCTCGTCCCAGGGTTAACTGTTCCTCCCCTAGCATATCAATGGTCATGTGGTTCCGACCTTCCCCTGACCTTTCCCGCCCTGGCATGTCACTAGTCATGTGGTAGACCTCCTTAGAGGGGGAACAAGGGGGCCAGAGAATAGCCCTTAAGTATTAAGCTCCCAGGACAATGAGGTTCTGACCTGCATCAAATAAATACATCTAGGCCTCAGTTGTATTTCAGCTCCAGTACCAGAAAAGCAGCAAAACACGACAGGTGATACCAGGGCTGACCTCAGGACCATTGACTAATGATCCCCTCCCCTATCGCCAACCAATCAGTGGATACCAGGACCTGAAAGGACATACCTGAAAAGCTGATGAACATTCTACTGAGATCCCCCCCCCCCCCCCCCCCCCCCCCCCGCCTCCCCTAAAATCCCCACTCTTAAAAGCCCCTAGGATGAAGGACCCGCTGCTCTCTCTCGGGGGAGTTTGCCTATGCCTTTCCAGTCGTCCCTCTCATCTTTCCCTCCAAGGCCCTTACCTTGAGCCTCCTCTCTCCTGAGCTCCAAGGGCCCTTCTTTTGCCTCTGTAATTTGTTTCTTGAATCCATTTCTTCTATGCTCACTTCTACCTCTGTGACTTTCTAATCTAAATAAACTTTCTCTTATAGTTTGAGTCTTGGCTCTGATTCCTTCCTAACCAGAATTCAAGTACTGAGGTTGCTAAACCCAGGTCCGGTCTGACCCACCTGTCTAATACCCGGTACTGTCCTCGCCACCAACAGTTTGATTCGGTCACCTCCTAGAAAACGTTTGAAGCAGAGAACAGAATATGGAGCAGCTGGTCTCAGACTTTAGCTTTGTAATCCAAGTTCATCTGACCTCCTCTAGTGGAAGGAAATGAGCAAAGAAACAAGAGTTCCATCTTTTTATTTAGTTAAATTAGAAACACTAAGCACACATTAAAACAATTACCATCTACTGTAACCATTGTTTCATAAAGGGAGGATTTATTTCAACATTAAAAAGAAGGAAGGGAGTATTACCATAATAAAGGGCTATATTTCAAAATAAATAAAATTAACTTCATGAAAAACTCATTGTGTTGCATTTACTTTTCTGATCATGAACCTGCTAACACCACCCCAAGGCATGGAACTAAATTTTCAGCAACTACCGATGTGACTTGAGAATATATTTGGCACCATAAATGTGAGACAGCTTAACTTATTGGGAGAACTACAAGCATATGTTGCCAAAATTTATATTTACCAAGACCAATTTGTGTCTGAAATCTTACCATGAAAGAAGAAATATGAAAATCTTGGGATGTGTGCATTGTGTGTATTCCAACATCTACCCATGTGTCTGTTCCTATCTTTTCCAGAAATTTTGTATTCATTTTCAAACAGTGCCAAAGACAACTGAGTAAATAGGTATAATTATTAATTATAATTTTCAATTATTGCAAAATGGGAGAAAAACAATAAGTCAGTTGCAAGTGAGTAAATTCATCATTTAACACAAATAAAGATAAATAAAAATATGAAAATAGTCTAGACATTTGATCAGGGACAGTGCAGTAGTTCTTAGGTTCCTCTTTAGAAAATATAGAAATTTTATGTTTTTCTCTTTTTTCCTTTATTGGTTTAGAGAGAGACGAAGGGAGAGGGAGAGAGAGATAGAAACATTGATGAGAGAGAACATCTATTGGCTGCCTCCTGCATGCCCCCCACTGGGGATCGGGCCCACAACCTGGGCATGTGTCCTGACTGGGAATTGAACAGGCAGCCTCTTGGTGCATGGGTCTCTGCTCAACCACTGAGCCACACTGGACAGACTTTATGTTTTTCTTTAATGTTATCTGAAAATAAATATTGTGCCCTGGCTGGTTTGGCTCAGCAGTTAGAGCGTCAGCCCCAGTCCAGAGAGACCCAGGTTCAGTTCCTGCTAAGGGCACGTACTTCGGTTGCAGTTTTTCCCCAGCCCTGGGTTGTGTGAGTGGCAGCCAGTCAATGTGTCCCTCTCAAATTGATGTTTCTCTCTCTCTCTTCCTCCGTCTCTCCCTCTCGCTCTATCTGAAGATGAATGCAGATGAGTACATTTGTGCAAATGTATTACTTGTGTCCAGAAGAATTCTGATGAAATTCTACAGTGGTTACATTTTGTATTATTGGAGGTTTGGGTGAGAAGGAAGATATTCCGAAAGGATCCAAATGATGCTATGTTGGTATCAAAACGTGATGACGGGTGTGTGCAATGGGCCAAGAAGCTCTGTCTGAGTACCTGGGCTGCAGCTGGCATCTGGGGAAGAACATAGGGGTGGAGTGGATGTGTGAGGGAATGAATAGCTCTAAACATGAGGGTCAGATGCTGAATGTAAGGCTCATCTACTTTACACTTCTGTCCAGGAACAGAGTCATGTTCAGGTTTTAATCACTGTTTTAGTCTCTGATCATAGCTTGCTTTTTGATGGGAAGCTTACTCTTCCTACAATCTGTTTGCATTAATGAGCAATCATTGCCCAGAATATTATTCCTCACAAGGACTCATGAAGCAAACTCAACATTAAAGACGAGGGCTGCTGTTGGAGGGTTGGGAGGCATTAACATTACTACCTGTCTTAGACACATCAAACACTTCTTGAAATATAAAAATTTTATAGTGTCTAATTAGTGATATTATAATAATAGTCTTGGGAACAATTCTCAAACAAATTAAATATTTAACTATCATTTTTGCCACAGACTACAAACTATGTCCAGAAATTCTTGTAAATCAGAATCCTGACAAGAAGCATTTTACATATATATTTTATTCATGGTTTTAAAAACAGCTTGCTTATCTCCAGATACTTCTGTTTATGAAAAGTCCCCTTCCTTGGTGCTGGTGAAATGTACTATTTGGAAAATATATTTATGTAAAATGTTATCATTGACTCTGAGTTCTCAGGGCAGCTTCCTTTCTGTTTTATAAGCCACCTACAGGTAACTTTTATTAGGCATTAACACTATTCCGAATATGGCGGTGAATTGTTCCATGAGCCCCTCCTTGTGCATGTCCCATGAGGTCTAAGATTTAGTCTCAAAGGGTTGAGAGGGGAGAGTGGGGCTTTTG